GCAAAACAGTAGGTTTGGGACTCCGGAACCATCACCGCATATGGACCATGAATTCGTTACAGTTAGGGTTCAGCTGGATAAAACAAAGGGCGGGCTTACAAACAGTGGTAGCTACAATAAATGTACAGGTTTATGCAAGTAATAGCATGACAGATGTTGGTGAACATGATAAAGAAGGGCTAGCTAGGTTGCATCACGATTTCCTTCCAGTGATTTCCTATTATCAATATGCTTTCTCTACCTCAGGTAACTTGCTAGCTCACACAGCGGATATTCAAGACCAGGTTTAGCATCACAAAGCGGTGCACACACGGCGGTCCATAAATTTGCAGGCATTTAAAATGATTGTCCAGATACCAGCGATATTTGTTATTATCAGTTGGTACTAGTGGAAGATGTGTTGAAATGCTTCTGAGATACACATCACAGGGAGCCAGAGCGCCAGAACGGCCCCAATGACCACATATACGTCACGAAGACACCGAACCGCCAGTCGCAATGCATATTTTGGACAAGCCCCTGAATACATGCCAGGGACCGACTACCAGCCTTGCCAGTGACAGGCCTCCATAAGGAATACCCAATCTTACAGTATTAACATACTAATTGTAACTCCCACTCTGAAGTATAGGCGCTTTGATAGTCGAATAGAAAGATTGCTCATACTACTTAAGGCGGCAGGCGAGGGGACAGGCAAAAAGGTAGTCTAGATATAGTCATTTTATGGAGTATAGTTATCGGTTATTTTGGTTGTTATTCTTATCATAGTTGTTATGGCTGTAATGGTCGTCAGGTCCCACGAGTGTCAGGCTCACATAGCTGTTAGCCTCGATCGATTGTTTGGCTTCTGTAGTTGTAAGTCTAAGCCCTTTCCTTTTTTCGAAACTTCAAGTCTTTGATTACAGTCTATCTTCATGTCATTTCCCGCTCCCGTCTTTTCAATTCTTTTGTTGTATTTGCATGCTTAACCCGTCTCTCAACGACGCCCGTTAAGACAACGCCATCAAAAATTAGGCACGTCCATATGGCCGATCCAACTAATTAACGCCGCCAACGTAACAAAACCCGTTACTTACTTTAGGGCGGATTAAGAATCCAATTCAGATGGCTGAGCTGCCTAGACTGGGCAGTGATTAGGGTCGGCGGGTAGAATACTCAAATGCAAGTTGTGGTGACCGATCACGGCACGGACAGCATCAAATAGTAGCAAAACGGCTTGAATTCCTTAAGTGAGCGGGCGGAGCGAGGGACGCTTAAGAATACGGTCGCTGAAGCGAAGTCGTCAATTGATCTCGCGGCCGAGACACGGCAGAGCGGGTCCGGAGGTCCGGAGCCATCACGACACAAGTCAACAGCCCCCAGACGCCTTGATTTTGAGTGCCTCTCCATCACAGGAATTAACAAACATGTTACAAAATCATTAACAGATGCTGCAAATATTCTCACCGCCACTATACACGGCAGGCTGCAGAGCTACCCCGCTGCATGTCGCGCGCAAAGCTACTCCGTCTTGCCCTGCTCCAGTTATGTATCAAAGACGCAGTATGATGTCTTACTAGAATACGGCCGTACGAGCTGCACTGTCTGTTATCTCCCACCTAAGTGACAAATAAAGACGCAGCCTGCCTATGGCCTGCATAAAAGAGTGGGCCTTCTTGTCACGCGTGTGTCTGCGCATTTGGTGTGATGAGAAAACTACATAGTTTCCCCTCCCTGTTGTTATGCTTGTCTCTTTTCTTTTTTTCTCGCTTGAACTGGGTCTTGCCCCCGCCAAGATTGGCATTTTCCTATTTCTCTAGTTAAGTGAATGTACGGAAGCAGATCTAAAAAGATACCTCTCTGGACGATTGTGAGATACTTCTTGTCAATGACAATTACTACCATGGTACTCTACGCCTCCTACATATTCAGGGTCAATAACTGTACTTGATGGTACCAAGATCTGTAGAGGACTAAGAATCACTCCGTCTAGCAATTCTGATAAAACGGGAGAAAACATCCGGACTTACTTGGCAAGCGAAGTTTAGCCAGTATCTGTGCATAACGTAGTTTTTCGTAGTTCTTAGATGAGTATTAAATGAGCTTCAGCAGACTTCTATGATTTTCACTTGAATTTACATACCTATTTTATACAAGCTTTCATGTCAAAGCCGGAAGCAAACACCAAATCTTCAATTGAACCCCTACCCGTTGACATTCAGGCATCATGTCCTTTTTCAGCCCTCCATGCCACCTATGCCAGTCATTAAGCAAGCTCAGTTCTACTTCAGACTCCCTCCTCGACAAAGCATCTCCCCCAAAATCCAGCCCCAAGGAGTCATGTTTTCACCTGCTAGAAGAGTCGCAATGCCAATTCCAAGCTGCTATGGATAAGCTTTGTGGTCCACAAATGGCTACCCATCGGATCTCAACCTCATGGACACTTGACTACAGATGTCAATCTTTGTTAGGCTGGTACGGCGTCTTTTGCAGTGAAAACCACAGCTATTCATTGCTCAAGTCTCGGAATATTACGACATCATCGGACTTATATCAGATGATGTACATAAACCTTGAAGGCATTCGATACCATCTGACAACCCTACGGGCAGCGCTAGACCGACATGTTCGAGAGGCCCCTAATGGGGTAATGGAGGCTTCTTTGTGGCCCTCCATCACTGTCATCACTGAATACTGGACGGAGATAAAAGACATCAATGACAAGCTTATATCCCAGATTAATATGTATAAGGGAAGGCGTTGATGATAGAGGTTGTATATACGGTAGTCTGCATATCGAAGCAAACCCTTCTAAGTAGCACAAGAGAACTGGTTCAAGGTCGTAGGGGGATGTTACGATCTATCTATTAGGTCACTAGGAACGCAGCCATGAAGTGAATTACATTGGACTTTTCCCAACTGAAGCTTTTGCTGATGCTGTTGTTGGTAGCCCTGCACTGCTCGTGGCATCTGGATTAAAAACTCAATGAGATTGCAAGTACTCAAAACAATTTGTTTGCAATAGCTTCAAGGGTTATATTCTATAATGTCTTCCTATTGAGGGTATTTATATGCTTAGGCCGCTACCTGTGAACTAGAGGGTCGCCCAGTCTAAATGCTAACTCCCTGGCTCCCATATAGATGCATCCAATCGCGGTGTTCTCGTTTCCTCTCGGACTTTTGGGAAGTACGTGAACGGCGCAGAAATCAGGATTGACAAACAGCCATTCCATGGAATCTACGTTCGGGTGTTCCTCGGCTTATCACCCTTCAACCAATAGGGTGAGTTGGGTGATTTCGCCGCTTTTAAGGTTACCATTCAGGGGAAGCTGGGTATCACCAGGGTGAGGCTAGGGGTAGGATAGGGTGATTTCGGCATTCCTGGAGTCACTAAGGGGAATCACTATGATAAGGATCCTGATTGGAGCCTCTGGGATACTTAACTAAGGCTAAGCCGTTTTGGTTACCTTTATTCAGGTAGCATACTAGGGTACTAGTAGATAGACAGCTAGGCAAAAAATAATCAGGCGAGAGTTAGGTGTATGGTACTATCTCTAGACATACTGATGTGTCTGCGACTCGGTATTTTTAGTAAGTAATAGCGACCTGTGGTCTCTTCTTTTGGTTGGGGCGATTAAGTCAGACTTCTTTCTGTAGATAGTTAAATAGCTATAATACTTTTAACGTATTTAAACGCGGATTACATTCGTATAAAGAGATTATAAAGGAAATGTAAATAGAGGCAGAACTAATAGAGAGACTTTAAATAAAATATCAATCCGTAAATAATATCTAATATTAATTATAAGGTTAGGATTTACGCAAAGCCTGTAGTAATAGACGATTCTAGCCGCCTTTAAAGACAAATGTTTAACTGCTTTTTTGAGCCTCCCGCTACTGTAGTGATCTTTACGCTCGACGGCTAGTGACTATAGCGAAACAAAGCTATTAATATAAGATTCGCATACTGTCTAGCCTATGAAGGATGCGCTATGTAAATTAAGTCTCGATCTAGAAAATATCTTTATAATATTGGAGAGCAACCCTTATGTCCTTAGTCAAAGTCGATAATAATCAGAGCGTATATAAAGAAGACCTAAATGTTATTATAGTCTAAAACTCTATATATTATCCTAGACGAAGACAAACTACTGCTTTCGAACCTAATTTGTCCTGGCATAGGGAATAGTTAATGTTGTGATTAGTATTTTTTAATATTATAGGATGCCTGTAAAGTAGGATAACTAATGGGGAAACCGTTTCCTATCTTGTTTCTCTTGTCTATTGTGGTGACCTGACTACGGCATGGGCAGTATTAACTAGAAACAAAACGGCTTGTATTCTCTATGTAGGCGAGCGGAGTGAGGGATGCTTAAGAATATAGGCGCTGGAGCGAGGTCGTTACGTGACCTCGCGGCCGAGGCGCGGCAGAGTGTTACGACCCGTTGGACATGGTCGCCAACACGACCCCGCCTGGATCCCGGCGGCTAACGCAGGGCATATGTAACCCAGCCGGACAGGTGTAACCAGGGATCCTCGGAACGGAAGAACTATGGACAAGTCACGTGGCCTCGGGGATAACGCGGGGTAAGGACAACCCGGGCTGGATATGTTGGATATGTCAGATATCCAACCGATCCCCGGATATGTTGGATATGTCAAATATCCAACATAGCCAAGATAAGGAGGACCGTTCAGGACTTGTATATAGGATGGACTCGAGCCGGGCTCGAGGACAGACTTCCATAGCTCTTCAGCAATCAACTTTGTGATTACCCTAACCGGTACTTTCAGCTATACCTAAGTGACGACTACTCTACGACTCTTGTTGAGGCCTTGACTGATCACCAAGACCTTTGAAGATCTACGATTCAATCGACCAGACCCCAGAACGACTGTTACTGTTGTCAATCCCTGGCTTACTGTTAACACAAACCCACTGTCAGTTAGCTGGCCGTAACACTTTGATTGCTCCTGTTCAGTAAGTCACCTTTTGAGAACTACTAAACAGTATAGACAAGATGTCTTCTCGCGCTTCTGCCAAATCACCCACTCCAGGATCCTCATCCTCTTCGCGCAACCAGCCTCAGAGCCTCGCGCAGGAGCCCGCCAACACTGAGGACTTCGACATGCCGGACCTCAAGTACGACTCCGATGGAGATGGCTCTTTCACCAAGGAAAGCTACGATAAGCTCCGACGCATAATCCAGAAACAAGAAGCCGAGACAAAAGACATGCAGAAAATCGTCAACGAAAACCGACAAGCAATGGAAAACCTCAACGAGCAACTCCAGCACGCTGGACAGGCCTACAAGAAGCTGGAAGAAGACATCAAGGGGGACGCCAACCTCCGGAAGATCCAGGAACTCCAGGGGGAAATCACCACCCTCCGGGCCGCCGCCAACATCGTCACCACGCCCGTCCACGGAGGACGACAAAAGCTCAAGCTCAGTGCGCCTGTCACCTACGACGGAACCCCCGGGACCCTCAAAGGATTCCTGATTCAGGTCAAAAACTACCAGAACTTTCACCATGGAGATTTCACCAACGAAACCGAAAAAGTAGTACACGCAGCCACCTACCTCCGAGGAAAGGCCCTCAAGTAGTTTAAACCAATCCAGGAAGAATACCTCAAATGCGAGACCCTCGACGAGTGCACCACCGAGACCCGCGACATCTACGCCAATTTTAAAGGATTCGAGGATGCGCTCAGGTCACTCTTCCAAGACCCCGACGAAAAGCGACAAGCCGAACGAGATCTGGCACAACTTAAGCAGACTAAGTCCGCCAAAGACTACTCCGCCAATTTCCGACAACTCAGCGTTCAACTCGACCTCACCGAGGAAACCAAGATCTTCATGTTCTATCAAGGACTAAAGGACGAAGTCAAGGACGAGATCATCAAGATTGATCGACCTGACGACTTTCTCCAGTACGCCGAACTCGCCATCAAAATCGACAACCGGCTTTTCGAACGACGAAAGGAAAGAGGCGAAAAACGACAAAACCCCAACTCAGGACGCAAGTACCAGTGGCAGCCTCAGCACCAGTTCAACAACCAGCGAAACGACAATAGACCCCGCAACAACTGGAACAACCCCCGACAAAGTACTGCCTATGGTCACCACAGTAGACCAATGGACCTTAGTGCTACACAGAGAAACGACAAAAAGAACGACAGTTGGAAGAAAGACAGACAGTGCTATAACTGCCAGAAGATTGGACACCTAGCATACGAATGCAGGTCACCTAAGAAGGAACGCTTCCAACCGGTACCAGAGAAACGACAAGCGAGTATCGCCACGAAGACGATCCCTCATGAACAACTTAACTGGACTACCTGCTTCGATGACAACTGCTATATCCACTCTAGCAGTAAGGAACACGCAGGATGGTACCCCCAGAAACCTCAAGAACGATCTGGTTACGACACCACCAACGTACCTAAACGGACCCTCGCTGCGGGATATAGAAGCAACAGCAAAATCGAGCGCAAGACAATCGAACGGCTCGACAGTATGAACGACAACGAGGAATTAGAACAAGACAATCAGCGAAGGCTGAGCCTCCTCTACGCAGGACGACAAGCCCACCTGCAGCGGATTCAACAGGACTCACAAAACCCTATGTGGCAACGACAACTCGGTGCGCTGGACGCACACATCGAACGACGACAACATGCACAAGGAGATCCCGCACGGATCCGCCAGATCAACCAAGAACTGGAAGAACAGGTCGAATCAGAAACGACCAAGAACACCCCCAACGACTCGGAAACACCTCGCGATGTTGCCCGCCAACATGCCCAACTGGAAGTCGCCTTTGAAGTCGCTTCAGTCGACGACACCAGCTCTGGAGAGGACTCTGACGAAGAAATACAGTGGTATCACTGCTACCAAGACCAGTGCCGAGTCCACTATATCAAGAAAGACGAAGCATGGAAGAAACAGCAAGAAAACGACGAACAAGGAACGGACGAGCAGTCAAAAAACTAGACTCGCCTACCGAAGACAAGGGACAACGACAGGCAGTCCAGACAAGGTCCCTATGTAGCGCAACGACGCCCACGACACAACGACACGAGCATGTACAAGTCCAAATACAGCTCAACGGAAGAACAGCTACCGCCATGATCGACAGCGGAGCCCAAGGAAACTTCATATCACCAAGAACGGTGAATGAAAGAAAGATAACCTGGAAAAGAAAAGCAGCCGAAGACTGCTACGAACTCAGCACCGTTGAAGGAGAACAAGTCCAGTACGGCGGAGGACGCATTGTTATGGAGACAGCGCAACTCCCAATGCAGATCCATGGCCAGAATGAGCGACTCAACTTCGATATTACGGAGATAGGAGACAAGTACGATGTCATCCTTGGAAGACCATGGTTATACGACAGTAACCCACGGATAGATTAGAGAACAGGCCAACTCCATTGGGACCAGGATTCAGTCACTGAGAAGCAACCACGGAACGGTGCCTCAAACGAACCTCTCAAGACTCCTGAAGCGAAGAGATTTCTAGCATACCTACGGATCAAGGATGCAAACGCCAGGACGTTATCAGCAACAGACATCGGCAAGGAAGACCGACTTCTGTCTATCCCAGAAGAATACCGGCAATACCAGAAGCTATTCGCCGAAGAACTCGAGACCGGACTCCCGGAACACAGCAACTACGACCACGAGATACCCCTTAAGGAAGGGAAGGAGCCAAAGCTAGAAGCAATCTACGGACTCAACCAGAAAGAAATAGAAGCACTCGACGCTTACCTCGAAGAAAATCTACAGAAGGGATACATCAGACCCTCTACATCACCAGCGGGATACCCAATCCTGTTCGTACCAAAAAAGAACGGCAAACTACGACTCTGCGTCGACTACCGGAAACTCAACGACATTACGATCAAGAACTGCTACCCACTACCGCTCATCTCCGAACTACGAGACCTGTTGCACGGAGCACAGTGGTTTACAGCACTCGACCTAAAAGGAGCCTATAACCTGATCCGGATGAAATCAGGTGAAGAATGGAAGACAGCGTTTCGAACACGCCGAGGACATTACGAGTACCTTGTGATGCCCTTCGGACTCACCAACGCACCCGCGACATTCCAGACGATGATCAACCACGTCTTACGAGAATTTCTAGATGTGTTCGTCGTAGTTTACCTCGACGACATCCTAATCTTCTCCAAGACTCTGAAAGACCACAAAAAACATGTACACCAAGTACTACGGAAACTGCAAGACGCCAAACTCCTAGTGGAACCCGAGAAGAGCAAGTTTCACGCCAAAGAAGTCGAATTCCTAGGTTTACGATAGCCCCAGGAATCCTCAAAATGTCCAAAGACAAAATCGCAGCAGTACGAGACTGGCCTACACCACAGAACGTTAAGGACGTACAATCCTTCATTGGATTTGTGAACTACTACCGACGATTTCTGGAAGGATACTCAGACAGAAACGACCCCCTTACGAGACTTTCGAGGAAAGACATCCCCTGGCAATGGGAAGAAGAACAGAAAAAAGCCTTCGACGAGATCAAACAACAAGTCACATCGGAACCAATACTCGTCATACCAAACCCCGAGAAACCATTCGAAGTCGAGACCGACTCCTCAGACTATGCCATAGGAGGACAACTAGGTCAACGAGACGAAGAAGGACAGCTACGACCTTGTGCCTTCTTCTCACGCAAACTACACGGCCCAGAACTCAACTACCAGATACACGACAAGGAACTCATGGCAATTATCGAAGCATTCAAAGAATGGAGACCGCAACTCTCAGGAACCAAGTACGAGGTCAAAGTATACACCGACCACAAGAATCTCGCACACTTCACCACATCGAAAGATCTCAACAAACGACAAATTCGATGGTCCGAATTCTTGTCAGAATTCAATTTCAGAATCGTCTACCGGAAAGGCAAAGAGAACGGCAGGGCCGACGCCCTCAGCCGAAGACCGGACCATGAGGTCCAGGTACCTGAGGAAACCCGAGTTATCCTCAAAGCAGACAAAAACGGAGACCTTGTGCCAGCAGCCAGACTCTTAATGATGGCCAGAAGAGACAGTACCAGCACGCCTGGAAGGATGTCTCCTGAAGCCATTAGGGAGATACACTCCGCACCCGCACACGGTCACCAAGGCGTAACTAAGACATGGAAACGCATCCGCCAACACTACGACAAAACGGCTACACGACAAGAAGTATCTTTAGCGATTAAGGACTGTGAGGTTTGTGCGAAAAGCAAACCCAGCCGACATCAGCCTTATGGAAAGATACAGCCACTCCCAGTACCGCAAACCGCATGGGAATCTATCTCGCTGGACTTCGTCACCAAACTACCCAAGTCCCGAGAACCAATGACCAACGTCTACTACGACAGTGTCCTCGTCATCGTCGACAGACTCACGAAGTATTCGTACTTCATCCCGTACATGGAGTCTAGCACTGCAGAAGACCTCGCCTACAAGTTTCTGCAGGTGATCGTAAGCCAACACGGAATGCCGAAGGAAATCGTATCCGACAGAGACAAGCTGTTCACTTCCAAGTTTTGGAGATCCCTGATCTCGCAGCTAGGATCCGACCACAAGATGTCCACCGCTTTCCATCCGCAAACCGATGGCCAGACAGAACGAATCAATCAGATCATGGAAACCTACCTACGCTGCTACGTCAACTATCAGCAAGACAACTGGGTTCAACTGCTACCTATGGCCCAGTTCGCCTACAACAGCGCAGTAGGAGAAAGTACAAAAGAATCACCATTCTATCTGAACTATGGATTCAACCCAACAGCCTACGGACAACCTCGACAAGGCCCAGCAGCTCTGAAAGCTGTGGCAGACATCAACAGACTTAAGGAGATCCAGCAGGAACTCCCCAGAGACCTCGAATTTGTGCGCGAACGCATGCGCAAATACGCCAACAAATCAAGAGTTGAGGGACCAACTCTAAAGGAGGGGGATAGTGTATACCTTCTCCGCCGCAACATCAAAACAAAACGACCAAGCGATAAGTTAGACTTCAAGAAACTTGGACCCTTTGAAATTACGAAGAAGGTATCCAACGTCAACTTTAAACTCGCACTACCCGACAGCATGAAGTGTCATCCAGTCTTTCACATTTCACTTCTCGAATCAGCACCAAAGGGATCGTACACTACGGACTATATCGAAGTAGATCCCGAACAAGAATACGAAGTCGAACGGATAATCGATCACATCGAAGAACAAAAAAGTATCCGCTACCTTGTCAAGTGGAAAGGATACGGACACGAAGACAACACATGGGAACCACCTCAGAGCCTCGAAAACGCACAGGAAGAACTCGGACGTTACTGGAGACAGCAAGAACAAGAACAACAAAGACAAGCACCAGTACGAATCGAGAAACAAACGCCAAAAAATCAATTTCGACTACGACAACCACAACCCATCATCCGTCCACCATGATCAAACAAGCCACGGGATAAACACCCTCTCATTCGTTTAGGAACCCCAGAGCCACCTAAAGGAACCCACTAAGGGCCTCCAACACCCCCAGGAGACGCTTCAGGAGTACTCCGCCTCTCAACAACCGACCCTGAATCCAACAAAC